AGAGCGCTGCTGCTGTGTTTTTACATTAAGGGGGCCACCTTAAGAGAGGCTTTGAAGGTTGAAAGGGAGCTTGAAGGCAGCTTGGAAGTGGACTTGAAGGTGGGGGATCTGAAGCGGCCATCCGAATTTTGATTTAATTTAGCACTTCAAAGCTCTCTTCGCAAAGGGTCTGAAGCCTTCTTAAGCTTCGCAACGGACGGATTTTTTGAAATATCAAGTTTTATTTCTCGCGTCAAACTCTGATCAAAGTTTTGTGTGGCTTTCTGTTCTTTTGGTTCACACTGTAACTTTGTGTTTGTTTTTGCATAGGTTTGCTGTTCTTGCAGGAACGATTGGGCATGTTCATAAAAGACAGTTTCTTTGCCAAGCCGTTGGCTGTTTTCTTGGACCCGCTTTCTGCAAACACACCTACTTTACTTCTGCTCCAGCTTCTCTCCGGCTTCCGCTACTAATGCAGCCCTCCTTCTGTTACCCGTGCTCTTCCTACGAGTTTTGCTTTTGCTGTTGCTGCATCTTCAATTCAGCCAGAAACAGCAGGAGATTTCACTCATTGCAACATCCAGTTAAAGGAGTGCTCAATGCTCAATGTCATGTTTAGAGCTGATGCGCGTCTTACAGATCCAGATAGGCTAGCACTCGTCTATCAGTCAAACAATTTTTCTCCTGTATTGGATTTGTGAGGAACATGGAGAGCTGGAGGGACCGAAACCTGTGGCCCACGTATCGTCTGGAACCCCATCAGGACTTGAATTTTTCGTTGGGGAGGTTCACTTGTGTAATTGGGGGGAAGGGATCAATGCTGTGTACAGGCGTTTGAAAACGATCTGGTGTGTGCTTTATTTGATCCGGAACACATGACCGCCCACATGTTTTGGAAAGCCACCTGCAGCCAAACGGTGCAATGCCATGCAACTTATTTCAGCGAACGTGCATTTACGTGCCAGCAGCATTGGTGTTGGGTAGGCAGACATGATCAGACCACCAGTGCAACAGGTTTGATTCCCAAAGTTCGAACGGTTTGTGGTAACTAGCAATGCATTGGTGGATGTGTTTTGCTAAGAACTGCTTAAGGACAAGTGCCGCATGCAGATTCCACTTCGAGTCTTTGCGGCTGCAATTTGCATTCCCATCATTTTAGCAAGTTGTGGTCTCCAGGCTGCCATTTGTGGAACAAGGTTTTGACATTGGCAGTGCAGTGGCGGAAACTTTGCATGGCAGGTTGCATGAATGCCGACCGAGGTTTTGGGGAACTTTGCCGAACTGAATCAGATTGTGCTTCCCAATGGAAAGTACCCTGGCAAATCATGGTTTCTGAACAGCCAGCATGAGTGAGGTTTTGGTTTCATGGTAAATTAGTTCGCGTTAGTGCATATTAACGCTGGGCGGCCGAGCGGTTGGCTGCTGAATTGCATGGTGGGCATGAGTCTTCTTCAGAGCAGTCGTTGCAACCGAGGCAGATTATCAAGACTACTTCAGGCCCCTGTCCTTTGCGCGACTGTATGCCAATGATGCTGGCGCTCCCATGCCGGACAGTGAGAAAACTTTGTCCGCGATCGAGCTGCACCGCATGAAAGACTCGGCAGATCAGCTCCTCAGTTCGAGAGAGGAAGGTGGCAGGCTTCAGGAGCTAGATCTTATTGTAACCGATGCAGCATATAAAGTCTTGATGTGTTGGAACTCTGGGGGGCGCTTTTGGTACTTGGAAACTGACGTTACCAGCTCTACAGCTTGCGTGCCTTCAATTTGCACTGAAGAGCATATTCAAAGGACTGTTGCCCGAATGTTCTTTGAAAAGATAGCTCCGCCCGGCTTCAGCCCGGAAATAAACCTCGTGCGCGAGCTCTTTCATTGGGGACAGATGCAGCTGGACTTCGTCATTATTGGGATGGATGGCTGTGGTAGCACATCCGTGCACAGGATACTGGCGCAGCATACGGAGGTCACGTTCACCAACATATCCGTCTTCAATGTTGATGAAGATTTTTTCTTGATAGAGATGGGCAGGCAAACGTTGCCTTTTCGTGCTCAAGTGGAGCGCTTGAACCTTTTTCGCATGGAGCTCCAGGCCCTGAAGGGCGACTCCCAGCTGGTCGGGCTTTATCAGCCCTACATGTGGCATGTTGATGTGCTGAGGTTGGCGATCAAGCAAATGCCAAACCTAAGGGTACTTGCCACAGTTTGTGACCCTGTAGATCGCTTTGAGCGTCGCATGCACGGCCAGAGTAGGCCATCTGACGAGAAGTTGTCGGAATCCGTCGCAAGGCAGCTCAACGACGATGCCTCGGTAAATCTTGCGCAGAAATGGCGTGGGTGGCATGCGGCCTTTGGGCATCGAGTTCTTTTCGTTGAGCAGCTTAGACTCAGTTCGCATGAAACGTGGAGAACCATTTCCAAGTTCTTGAAAATCCGGCCATTCCCACGCACCTTCCGATTTCCACGCTACAACGCACGTGGTTCGCGGTCGAATCTTTGTCAGCACCGGAGACTACTGGACGACTTGAAGGCTCGCCTCAGCAAAAGCGTGAGTGTGCTCTTGTGTCGTGCATTAGCTCTCCCCAGCGTTTGAATGACGAAGCCCAAAGACAGGACCTCGGCTGTTCTCCTTTATTTTTTGTGCCACAGGAGCGCTTCAGGTCGGAGTACGACTTTTTGCAGGAAATCTTCGGATCCGAAGGCTTCAAGCACCGCTGGACTCATTGTGAAAGGCGGAATGAGCATCGAATTTTGAGAGACCGAGATCTATTGTTGCTTAAAGTAAAGTGTGAAGGCAGCAGACATCAGCATGTTTGCTTTGCACCCGGTGCAGGATGGATTCCATGAACACCGCATGCGTGAAGGACAGGTGTGCCTAGCCGGCTTATCCTACCTGTAGAAGTGCTGCACCGGCGATCTGCGCTACTGTTTCGAATCCCTCAAGACCTTCCTCTACTCCGCGAGGTGCCTACAGTTGGGCGTGCATTCTGGATATGGTATGTACATGCCCAACATTGCCCAACGCTGGCGAGCAGCTGGATCTCCAACCCAAACAATGTCTTGGCTTCTACCAGGTTGCGCAAGACCGGACGCCGCGGCACGAGCCAGTGCTCGTCAGACATGCTGTCTGGCAGCCGGCATCTTGTGCAGGCTTGGCAGCCGTGGAAGTAGAGTGCTTCAGGACCTTTCGGCTCTTCCTTTTTCTGCCTCCTCGCAGCGGGCAGAAAGTTACACTATCCCGAAGCGCATCTCAGCACGAGCGCAAAGACTTGCCGCGATTAGCGTGGACGTTGTGGTTGGCATGCATTGCGGTTTGGCCCATGTCGTCTCCTAGAAGTCTAGATGTTTGTTTTTGCTCAAGAGAACATCATCCAGCGCCTGCCATCGCTGGCGAAGGCTCCGACTTCAATGACTGCACATGCCGTCGAATCAAAACCACACATCCTCGTCGTTGTTGCGCCGAGCTTTTTGGGCACAGAGGTCGGTGGGTGCGGGATGCACCATGCGCCTCCAATTCCAGCGACGTACGGCCAGCCAATGGCCACAAGCTCAGCCCAGATAGGTGATGTCTTGGCTGTCGTTCTCGGCATACCTCGACATCCGCCCAGAGATTCTGCAAATGTTCTTTCTTGGTCGGCGTATCGGCTCACGTAATAGATTGATCCTGGAAGAGACGCTAACATGGGCCGCCCCTTGTCGGCACCTGTGCCCCTGCTCGGGTGAGTTGAAGTAGCTGTGGATGCTGTGCAGGTGATGGATGAGGCCGCTGATCGATCGTGCTGCAGGTGGTCTGATGCGGCACCCTGATTTTGGCACTCATACGTTCTACTGAGGTGGCCAAGGTTGAGACCAAGGTCTGTGACTCAAAGGGAAGCCTGGAAGGGAAGTCAGCCTCGCACGGTCAGGCAGGACGAGCGTTGGCGATGATATCAGGCTTAGACTTTTCTGTCATGATATCAGAACCGACCAGAATCGTGACGTTCCTGCAGGTGCTCCTGGAATCCTCCATCAGGGCCATGCGGATGGAGAGATCCCGCGGCAGGCAGGGTCCGGCCGGCTGGGCCGGCTGGGCTTGCTCGGCTCAGAGGAACTCTCTGAGTGCACCTTCGGTTGGAGGCAGTGCGAATGGAGCACTTCTTCCCCTCTTCGCTCCCGAGGGGGTCACACTCCGGAGGCTGGGGACATGCCTGAAGTTGCTTCCGGTCCACTACTTCCAGTCAGGCCCTTGCCGCCTTGCAGTTACGATTGCTGCAGTGAGTGCTGCGGCAGCCAGAAGCTCAATTTGTGTGGATTGTTTCAGGTTCGCTTCGATCATCCTATCGATTAAGGCTCGCCGCCAGCCGCGAACGGCCGTGCCGAGAGAGCCTTAGTTGAGGGTGGACTGTTACATCTGTCTTAACTGCTCCAGCCACAGACCAGCGGAGTTCAGGTGGAGGCTTCCGCTCCAGGCTCGGTGAAGGGCATGAGGAGCGCTGAGGAGCGCTGCCTGCAACTGTCCCTTCCAGGCATCGGAAGATGCTGAGCCCGGCAAGCTGCCCAATGCACATGCCACTGCCAGTGTGCGATTTACATCGAAGTAAGTGATCAATTCTGCATCTCTTCTCGGGTGGTGTGGTCCCAAACTGCGTGATACAGGCACGACGGCTGTGTATGCAAGCACTTCGCAAAGTCTTCGTCTCAGGCATCCAAGGCTCTACTGGTACAAAGCTTCGAAACTGGAACGTGCAGACTGAGACTGCGAGGTGTTTTGGATAGGCTCTGGCAGAGCCAAAGGCCACCGTCCACCACATGTTCCGGGGAGAGGGCATGCCTGGTGATGTCTTTCGCCAGGCAAAACATGCAGGCATGCTTCCCAGATGGGACAATTGTTGGGTGACGTGGAAGCTGTGGCCGGAGGCACTGTGGTCCTTTCAGGTGCTTGCCGTGGGCATACTGGGTGCCATGCTCTTCGGCACCTTTGTCACACTCACCCAGGGGGTCGTCGCGGGTGCCGAATGGTGCCTGGCATGCTAGATTTACCAGGGTCGAAGCGTGGGTCTCAAGACCCTCTCGTGTCAGGTTTGCATGCTACGTCATCGAGTATTCCTTGTCCGTCGACAATCTCTTCGTTTTTATTGTGCCTGTGCTTGTTTCGGGGGTAGCAGCGGCAGGTGCACAAAGGAGCAGGCAGCTGCGAATGTTCTTCAGAATAAGCATGCATCCAGACTGTTCTGGCTTAGGTGATCTTCGACTACTTTAAAGTCACTGGTGACCGCCAGCCATGCTCCTGGATTGTGCAATCTAGTGTGGACTACGCCCCCCATGAGCATGAGTCGTTGATCTGTGAATGTTTTGCATCGTCACAGGTCGCAAGTTCTCAACTACGGCATCGCCGGTGCTGTGGTCTTGTAGTCGCCTTTGCCTGTATTAGGTGTCTCGGACGTGAAGCAGAGTTGAAGCGACCCAGGCGTTTTCTTTTTGTCTACCTGGGGGCGCAGCTGCTGCAGCGCTTCGACTTTCTGATCTTGTTCTTTGCTGCTATTCTGGTCGTGGCCTTGCGGCTCTCTGGCAGCTCGTTGTGTGCTCGTGTCATGCTCCCAAAGCCTCCCAGGTGTATGCATCGTACCAGGCGAGCTGGGCTTCGGCTTCACTGTGCTGTGTTTTGTCTGCTCTTTGACGCTTGGAGTCGCGAGAGAGATGCATTAATTTGGTCACTGGGAGCATTGCAACGAGGGCCTTGCCAGCCGCGACGATGACGATGATGATGACACAGATTCCATTGAGGAATATGGTGTCTACAAGCCTCGTGCTCAGAGATGCACTCGACTATGCAACTACGTACAAGTGTTCCGTTCTCTCGTTCCGGCGAGCTGAGGGCACTGAAAAATCTGTTTGAGATCTCGCCGCGCTTGGATGGAGACAAGTTTTTTACAGAGGCTCCGCTGACCTTCATTGCGAAACCCATGCCGGTCTAACCTTAGCGTGGGCTTGCTGCAGTTGGATGGGAGAACGGTGGCAACACCATTACTTCTGTGCCTGCTGGTGGTGGAGCTTGTGGCTTAATGTACCAAACCTGCGCATGGTATGAAAGCCGTTTCAATTCGGCAACCAAGGTTCAGTGACATCGTGTTTGCCACGGATTCTGTGCCTGCTGTGTTGGGAACCACCAAGGCCGGGCAGAACTCATTCTGTGCCTCGTGAGCAATGTGGCTTCGGTGTTGACTTGTAGGACCCATTTATCGCATATTCGTCGTCTGATCCTTACGGCTAGCGGCCATAGAACTTCGGCACTGGCTGCGTTGCGCAACTTTTGATTTCAAGTTGCTCGAGATGACGCAATCATAGCCCAAGGAACATTTTTGCAGTGTTTGGGCTGCGATCTTTGTTCTTCATCCTGCGCGAAGCCATGACGAGGTGTGAGCCGTCGAAGAACCGACCTTGTTTGACCATGTCTGTATCGAATCGTTGCAATGCAGGTTTACCTACTTGGAGCCAGCGGTGAGTTTTGTGCTGGGCTTCATCGGACTAAAAATAGTTCCTTGCTCAGCTTTTTTGGCTTTGGTATCCTCTCCTACAGCCTTGCAACTAACAACTAGACCTACGCAGGAGCAGGGTCTCCGGATTTAAGTTCCTAGCAGCAGGAGCTACTGCACAGGAGTTAGACAGTTTCCCAAAGTTTGCTGTACATGAGCGTGTCGGGTGTCCACAAGTGTTGGTCCTAGTGCAGAAATGGAGTCCAGCTAGACTCTCCAACAAGTCATCAGGTTTGTCTTGGAAGACATCCATCCGAGCCTTTACGAGTCTCCACTCATGACATGTGTTGAGATTTCTATTCTTCATGTCGGGCAGCACAGCGGCTGGGCACTCTGACTGTCCTTTTCCAGCTTGCACGGGATGAGCAAAACTGTAAAACGGCTGCAATCATAAGCATGACAGTCAGGCAAGTAAAGTGACATAGACTTTGACATAGATGCCGCAATAAAACCAGAACACAGACCATAGCAAAAACATAAGACAACCATAACGCAAAAACTCACAAAGCATAAGAAACCAAAACCAAATCGTAAACCATAAGAAAATCGCAGCCGGGAGGATTCCTGAAATCATATCTGAATCGTATCGAAATCGTAAAAATGTGTATTCCTGAAAACGGACGCTTTCCGACACTCTGGGCGTCTCAAAGCTAGAGACCGCCGCTCATTTGGTAATTGACGGCGCCTCCATACCGGAGGGGTGGAACCTCTAGGTTTGGCGGGTGGGTGGCTCGCATGCGTTTGATGGAAGGGGCTACTGTCACTGGTCGTCATCATGAGCTAGTTGGCAAGCACCTGTGAGGTTGTGGATTACTTTGAGATCATCGAGGCAGAATTGCTCCGGCTATGATGACGTTGGCGATGATGTGGTATCCTGAGGTGCCTGTTATGGGCTCATTGGCCGTCGCTCACATCTCAGGATTCTTGCTAAGTCCAGCTTGCAGACGCACGTGTCCCCTCACTCAGGTTCTCTCCATCCTGGCCACCGGGATCTACTTGAGCATCAAGGCCGCACGTCTCGTCCCAGTGACAGCTTCTAGAATTGTTACGAAAGCTTCTCTCAAAGCTCAGCTGGAGTGATTCGGCGTGGCTCGTAGGTCGAGTCAGGCCTCGAAGGCTGGTTGCGTCAGTTGTGAAACGTGCAAGTCTGTCGGTCGGTCGGTCGGTCTGTCTGTCTTGGTGCCTTGGCAGTCAGTCTTGGGCCAACGTTTCGAAGGCAGTGTCTTAGCCTTAAGCTCTGGTTACTTTGTGGCTGCTCCGGTAGTCCGTTGTGCAACGTGCGGCTTGCGAAGACTTTCCTGAGTCCTCGCACCTTCGCACAGCCGCAAGATGCCTGTCTTCGTATCTCATGAGATCATGCACACTGCAAAGAAGCTGAAACCCGGCTATGGCTGCCAGGATCTCGACTCGCCCTCCGACACCGGCAGTTGCCTCAGTGGCTGCAGTCCGTCTTTTCCACCGACTCACGTCTGTGTCCGCCTGCAGGCAAGTAGCGACCCAGTGGAGGGCGCATTTGCTGCAGGTGTGGCCCCAAAATTTGGCTTAACAGCCAAAGCCAGACCCCATGCTGCAAAGCAGCCTTGCTGGCCTCTTGCCCATGCGGACATTGCTAGAGATTTAGTTATCTTGCCATGAGCCTGGCAAAAAACACTAACTACATCATGGTCCATCCATCCTTTCGTGTCCTGTCGTTTGAAGGGCAGGTGTTGCAAGACCTGGCACCTGCACAGCCAGAGCTGCTTAGACCCAGCATTGAGTGCTTGGCGCTTGCGGAAAAGGCGCTGACAGCAGGTTCAGTTGAATCCTAAACCGCGAAATCCCACACGGTAGGCCCTAAATCATGAAAACCCTAGGCCCTAGACGCTACACCTTAAGTCTGGGCCCTAAACCCTGAACGCCGCTTCACAAGGCTCGGCCGATGGTCCAACAGGTCCCCGGAGTTCGACCTGGAGGTCCCGGGTTGGGCACCACAATTCTAGGGGTTGCCGAATTGAGAAAACCCCTTGCCTCGTGCTCTGTTATGGATATGTGCAACGGGTACCCCGCCATGGCTTACGTTTCCACATGGGACCTAGTAAAAGAGCAGTAGGTCTTGTTTGACATCAAGTATCGCGCATAGGCGAGTTGCTTCGTGCTCTAGAAGCGGCAAACTAGATACCGCGATGCGTATGTCACAGGAACTTGACGGTCCAAGTTGCTGTGCCCTCTCTACTCTTGGGAATGCAGCTTGATACTGGCTGCGAGTGGCATGGAGCCTCGAGATTCGTTTTCAGCTTTACAGCTGCACTGCATTGCAAGTGCGAGGACAAATCTCGCAGAACTTGCAGCTGCCTTCCCTGGCAGGGGACAGTTGGACACGTTGCTATCCGTGCGCGACGACGAGATGTTCCTGAAAGTCTGTTGTGATCGCCACCAGGAGGATGCCAAGGGCATGCCCTTCCTATGCTGGCCCGAGTTTGGGGCTGGGCCATGTGGCGGATACTGGCAGTGTTGCTTCAGCAAGCTTCGCGTCTACCTGCATGAGCCAGCTGGCGTCGAGAGCATACTCGCCCCGTGGATGCGCCGCAGATTAGATCAGGACTTCGGCATGTACGAGTCGCAGATGGCAACAAGACCAAGACTCCCCTCGTTGAACAGCACTCTCAATGCCGAGCTGTGCCGTGTGTGGATGCCTGGACCTGCTGGAGACACAGGCCTGTGTCCCCAAAGGCCTGCTCCAAGGTACAGAGGTGTTTGCAACGATCGTTGGGTGTCGACGCTGGACACCGTCTTGAAGGTGATCCTGTGGAACGTGCCGGCGACTTCATGGCCAGAACAGGGCTTCTCTTTTGAGCTCCAGTCCTTGAGAAATCTACCACCTAAGGCAGGTCTTCCGGACAATCTCGGCACGGTGCATCCTGCACCGCTTTGGCCAGAGGGTTTGCTTCGTCGCATGCACGACTTCCCAGGGCTTTCCTTTCCCCCGATTTTCTGCTTCTCCGCCCTGCCCTTCGTAAGGGAGGGCGTCGTTCTGATTCCTTCAGAGATTTTGGGCTCGGACAAGCAGCTCGCGAGCCTGGCTCGCACCAACGAGCTGCGCTTCGAAAAGCCTTACACTTCCAGCAAACCTTCCCTTCTCTGGCGGGGGTCGATAGGTGATCCGCAGTCCCTCGAGGACCACACTGCATTCCTCCTGCGATCCCACAACCTTACTGACCCGCAAGCCCGGGAAGCCCTGAAGGCAGCGGTTCATCGGGCATGTCAGATTGAGATGCGCGGGAAGTACGTGGCGATGAGCATGGATTTTCCGGATATCTTAGATTGCAAATTCTCGTGTGGGCGCCATCGGACTCTCGAGGTATGGCCGCGGCTGGCAGAGCTCTTGGGTTCATTGGGGCTGCTGGTTGATCGTATGCCACTGAAGGATTTTCTGGACTTCCGTTTTGGGGCCATTCTAGATGGTTGGTCGTTTGCTCGCAACACGGTGCTCACCCTCGCACTGGACTTGACTCCCTTCCGAGTGGAGACCTATTTGCAATGGTGGTATCACGAAGGCCTTCAGCCGTGGGAGCATTATGTTCCTCTTAAGTCTGATGTTTCAGTCGCGGATGTACGGGACAAGGTGAGATGGGCAACGGCAGAGACCGCGGTTGCGGAGCGCATCGCTCGTTCTTCCACAGCCTTCGCGATGCGCTGGTTCCCGGAGCCCATGCAGATGGCTTATGTCGCAGCAGCCCTGATGCGCTACTCGCGGACTTTTTCAACTGGCGGGGCTGTCTCGGGCCTGGAGGAGATTTTCAGAAGCAAGGCCTTGAGGTGACTGCTCGAAGGCCGCTTGGCAGCCTTCTCGAATGCAACGTGAAGACATCCGAGTGTCGTGATCTTGGCCGATGGCTCCTGGAATTCGGCCAGCGGGTAGCCCTGCTCGCGATGCAGTCACGGGCTGCATCTTTGAACATTCATCCACCTTCGCTGACCTATGCTGACCTGGGAGGGAAGTATAGGACTGCGTTCTTTAGTCCGGCGCTCGTAGAGGTGGTCCGGACCTCCTGCGAACGAAGCTTGTTGAGAGCCTTCGACGGCTGGGGCAAAAAGAGCAGCAGTTGAAAGTGTGCTCGCCGAGAGCCTCCGTGTGATCTCAAATTCAGAGCTCAGTTTGAGACTCACAGGTGCACGATGCTGTTTGTCAGGTCCGTATGGCAGCGGCCAGTTGCCAGCAGCTTGGGCCTCGGCCGGCATTCAGTCACATGCGGGGAACACCTTCGCGTGTGGTCTCATTGGCTGTAGTTTACACAGCTGATGTTGAGAGCCAAATCTTTCCGTATGGAACAGGTAGCAGATTGCACATAGTGTCAGGCCATGACGCAGATGAATCCGCTTTCCGGCTCGTGCATTCCCCAGCTTGATGCTCCTCTGATAGAGCTTTGTGCAAAGCTCCATGGAGGTATGCTCAATTGCAGCCGCAGCCCGGGCAGCCGGCGTCTCCCACCAATGTCGTGCGACCTGGGCAAGGCAGCTTTCAGCTGCAGCGCCCGGCCAAATCCTGAGAGCAAATCGAACTCTTTCAGTGGACTGGGATTTTTTGTGACCTCCCAGGTGGGGAGCCTTGGTGCCTGCCTTAGATACAACCTGCCTGGGACCTCTCAGCACCAAGTTGCGCCAGGTGCGATGGACGGGACCCCTCAGGTGATGATGCAACATGGCCAGGGGATGAGGAGCCTGCTCGTGGTGAAGCGGTGATTCCGAAGAACTGCAGCTTGTATCGGCAGGACCGTGCCGGCCAACGCTTCCATGGGACATGGACCGTCTCGAGAGCAGGTGCGGGGCGCGGGGAAGAACGTGAGGCTCTGGGCGGTGTTTTCTGCAGGCGCTGCAGCAGCGCGTCGCGGATTTGGAGGAGGCCCTGAGGGGCAAGGACCAGGAGATCAAGGCCGGAGGGAGACTTCCCCACTGCCCACTGCTCGGGGTGCTCGCCGTGTCCGTGTGCCCCTCGAGGAGCTCCAAACGGCTCTTAGCCGGGACGGGAGCCCAGAGCTGAAAGAGCTGTAGAAAAAACACACCACAGTGTACTAAGGCGGGTATAAAGCTTCCTTCCAGCTTCGCCAAGAAGGCCCTTCGCAAGTTTGATCTTCGCTTCGCCTCCAGCTTGGTCGCCTCTTGAGGCCAAAGCGCGAGAAAAGGCCCGTGGCGCCGTCACTGGCTAGTGAGCCGCTGGTGATAGTGTGGTGATGCCTGAGAAGGTCGGCAGCGGCGGCTTTCGGAAAGTCTCGCAGTCGCAGCCTGCGGTGCCCTACGAAGCCATTGACCAGGCCACTCCCCTCCTTTGCCCACAGAAAGGCGATCCTCCCACAGACAATTGCCGGTCGAAGGAGGATCCGATTGACCTCCGCCTGGAAGAGTTCTACAATGGCACAGGTTCAGCGATTCCGTTTCAGAGGCCTGAAAAGGAGGGCCAGATTAAGTTGTTTCATGGTGTTGCACGAGCCCCTCTGCAGGATTAACCGCGGATTCTATCGCTTTGGGGAGACCATCCTGGAGCTGAATATCATTAATCATAAGCTGATGGCACGGACAGAGGCGCGACGGTGGTGCGGGGTTCAAGGATTCCACAATGAGATTCCTTGGTCGGATATCTCGATTCTGATGCACAGCATCAGGACGGATGGAATCGAAGCAAGTTCGGTCCGATCGAGAAGTTCCTCATGTACTATGAAAACATTGAGAGGGAGAAGGCGGAGTTGAGCTTGGGAGGGGAAAGGGGAAGACAGCGAGAGGGAGTCCACGCATCCACGCAGGCCGGGATCCTCTTGGAGCCTTGATCGGGCTCGCACGGCCGGGCAGTGGAGGAAGTTTTCCCAGACTGTCTGAAGCGTATTTGTTGTGACGTCGGTGAGGTAGCTGCTTCCCCTCGGAGGCTGCAGGTTTCAAACTGTGTCAATTGTTTGCATAAAGACTTGGAGAGGAGAGGCCTGGAAGTGCTACAGCTACAGCATACTGCAGTTATTACGTTCTACACAGTGCCCAAGCTACGTGACCCTCTCTGAGACGGACAAAGACTATCCGGTGGAAACCCATGGGGAACTACAGGGCAGTTCGCTGCGCTCCAGGCACTTCAGATATTGGCGGTGTGCTTGAAAACGTGCGCTTCCGCGATGCATGCTGCGTAACGATAGTTTGCACTTTCATACAACTTCAGATGTCCACTGGCCACAGCCATAGCCTTCCTCGTTCCGTTTTGGCTGGCAAGTGCTTTGGCTTCGGCGGGTTTCGTGCAGCCCTGCTGCAGCCCAGCTCCAACCCAAGCGACGCCAAGTGATGCATGTGCAAGACCAGGCGTCAAATCCGCCTCCTGCCCTCCAGGTGGCCAGCATGCCGGCTAGAAGACCGCGATCCTCTCGGAATCAGAGAGAGAGATAGCAAGCAAGAGAGACCATTCTTCAGACTTCAGCGTCCACCGCATTGCTTTTAAGGGCGCCGTTGTCAGATGACGCCCTCAACGTGAGGCAGAGCTCATCTGGGACGGAGATTCCAATGCCCCTGGGAGACCTGTGAAGCACATCAGGAGCAACGGCGTGGGCGTCGAGGCCACGGTTCAAGGGGCAACGTTGTCGCGCGCCCAGCTCGCCAAAGCTCTGCCAGCGTAGAGAGGAAACAGCTCAATGTAGCTCAATCGTGTTGGTAGTAGCACGCCGGTACTGTATGTGACTTCAACATGGATTGTCGCACACGTCATGGCTCAAGTCTAACGGAGAAAAGGGCAGCGATAACTGCGCGGGTCGAGGGGTGTGATTGAACGAGCCGTCCTTATCATCATGTGGTCGAGAAGTTGGGAGCCCGTGGCCAGGGGAATCAGCGGGAGGAGGACCCTTGTGCCCGCGGATGCCTGCAGCCTTCCTGATCACTTGAGTCCCATCACCGACCAGACACACAGCAAACCAGCTACACACCCACCAGGGACAGCGGAGCTCGCATGAGCTCGCAGCGTCTCGGCGCCTCCCAGGCTTGGTGCCACGAACAACGGCATCCCGCTCCCGGTGAAGAATACCTTCATCGACGCGGGAGCCCCGGAGCCCCGTGGCCTGGCGGCCTGGCGGCCTGGCGGCCAATGCTCTTGCCCTGTGAGGTTCCCTCCGGCTTGACGCCCTCAGCCATGAAGTTGGACACCCCGTGCGAAACCCTGAGCTGCTATCCCAGGAGCCATGCTTACTGAACGGCCACCTGGAGGTACAATCCACTTCTCACCGCGCCAGCTGACCTGAACCACGCGCCGGGCTTCCTGCAGAGGTGCCGCCGAATCTCCAGAGCCCCGACAAACTCAGACGATACCCCAGCGACCCAAGTGGGCCAAGTGGATCGGACGATTGCTGCAGGACTCTGGTATCCGTTACTGGGGCTTTGCCCACACCATCGCAAAGCAGTCCACAGGCACGTTTTGCTGCTGGCTAGCTCGCTGTGGCCTTGTGAACCGTCCGTCTGTCCACGGAGCTTCTGGTTGCACCAGGGTGGTTTGCTACCCATCTCACCTGCAGCTGCCGACATCTCATGTCGAATCTGTTGTTTCCAGTGGGCTTTTACAGGGGCTTCAGCTTGAGGTGATCCATCGGCGTGTCATGCATTGACCTCAGCAGAAGGCGCGTAACAGCGCCTGTTCCTGCCGACCTTGCAAGGCAATCGCCCGTGGCGACTCCTGTGACTCCTTCTCCATCGGGTGCAAAATGGGCAAAGCCTCGGCCCGAGTGCCGCAAGGATCCGCAGGGAGTGCAGTCATTGCTCGCTTCGGTACCATCGGGCTCTCCTTCAAAGGTCTGCCGGTTGCATGGGAGGAACGACAGCCATCCCCGTGCAGACCCCAGAGTTGTGGGGTAGTTCCGGGAGTTCATCCTGGCGTTAGCAACCCTGCTGCGAAGGAGCTTGCTAGCTCGGTGCTTTGGCACTCTGCTTGGTCGGCAGGCTTGCGTTATTGCTGCACCTTCGCCCACGAGAGCTTTGGCCATCTCAAGCACTACGCCGCAGTCTTGGAAGGCCGATTGTCAGGGTCCGTCACAGCCGCTCACTCTCGAGGTGCACCACGGAGGCCACGCAGCAGGCAGAGCCACTGGATGACGACGAGGTTCGGAAGATGAGATGCCTTGTCATGAAGTGCTTTTGCTTCTCGCACGTCGCAGGAGGATGACTCCGGATCTGACCAGGTGGTCCCAGTGCACCTTCGCAATCCCGAGGAAGCTCTGTGAGACAGCGAACAGTTCTCGGTGCGTTTACGTTTGACATGAGGACGCGCCGAGGGCTCCGGCTGGAGCCAAACATCCATCGCTGGGCTCGGAGGACTCACAGCCCATGTCTCCACGCCGGCAAAGCCCCCTGCAAATCTGGCAGGGCCATGATGAGGGCGGCTGCAAGAGGCTCACCAGCATGAGCTTGATTCGATGCGCTGTTAAGAAAGACATGATCATGGATGCTTTAGATTGCCGTCGTAACTCAGTGCTTTGATTGAAGCTTCCGACCATGTAGGTGCTGCTTCTTCCCGCGTGGACGCTGCACAAATGGGTCCGCATGCAAATGTAATTTGTGTGTGTCTGACCCTTCGGGTCAGCACTTCTGGTTCAGGTACAACTGTGAGTTCTGCCATTACGAGCACGAGAAGAGGAAGCGAAAGAACAAGAAGAAGATCAAGAAGAAGGACTGTCTCGAGTGTTCGGCTGCTCAGTGGCGCAGCCCACTGTGTGGGGCAACCCGGCCAGGATGATACACCAATGGCTGGTGCCATGTTCCATTCCCTGGACTTGAGGCCGTGCGGCTATGTTCTGGAACATGCGGGGCGCAGAAGCTGGGAATAGGACAGGATGTTGCGGGATGTTTTTTTGGGAGAGTCTGAGAGGGTTGAATTCGCGTGTCAGCTGAAGAGCACCCGAATCGTTGTGTTTGGGAGGTGCAATGCTTTTGAGCTAGTACTCGTAGATTAGTACACCATAGGATGCAACCTGCTCCATGTTCTTGGAAACGCGGCCAGCTGAATGAGCGGATGCCATGGAGGGGTATTTGGGAACGCCCTCCTTCGATCTCCAGCGTTGCAGCTTTGCGACAGTACAGATTATGCCCAGATTTGACGGGCACGGCAGTTTTAGCAGAAGCCGCCGAAATACTGAACCGCTTCGTGCCCAGACTCTGGCGAGTGCATCGACCCTTCAACTTAACTAACAATTCGCATTGGCTCGTGCATGTGGCGGAGACCAAGCAATGGGTGCGGATGGGCGAAAGGCACCTGCTGCGGCTCATGACAGACGGAGGTCTCCGACAACATTTCGACCCATCCCACTGGTCCTCGGCACCATTTTTCCGTGCGGTGAGTTTCGTCAAAGCCTTGTACAGGGCTTCACCTCTGCTGGGCGGAGAGCTGAAACGGCAGCACCTGTCGATCGAGTACCGTGGTTGGTGGAGAGCATTGAATTCGCAAGTGACGTCCGATAGGCCGATGGATTTGAGTCTTCCCGATCCGACCGGACCATGCACGCTCCCTCTGGTCTTGTCAGATTTGCTGCAGGTTGACAGCCTCAGGTTTCAGGCTAGCCCTGCGTGGGATGATGCTGCAGGCCTGCAAATCCGGCAACTACTTGCTTCGGCCCAGGCCAATCTTGACTGCATGATCCAACGGCCATTCATCGGCACAAAGCGGCCCTTGAGGCTCTTGGACCACTTCATGTTCAGTGACGCGCACCTGGTTTTCGCGCTGCTGGACCGTTTGGACTGCCGTGTCTGGGCTCCTGTCACTACACCTCCTGGATCCGCTACGTTTTGGATGCGCCTCCCGCCCTCCTCGTTCACAGAAGCGAATCGCGTGAGGGGCTTGAGGGGGTTCCACTGTGACAGAGCATTCCGAGATTTGTTGGAAGAAATCCTCGCAGCTGGAAGCCCTTCGTCTTTTCGATTTGTAGAGGTCGGAGCCTCCTTGGGAAGCTGCACATTCCACGTTTTGACGAGAGTCCCCACTGCCTCGGCCGTGGCCGTGGAAGCCTACCAGCTAGCAGCAAAGCTCATGCGACGCACGGGGACTTGGAACGGCCTGGGCGATCGCCTGGTTGTCCGTGAGGCTTTCATATCAGACAAGCAGAGTGCATGCCGGGTCCCCACGCTAAGCAACGTCTTCAACACCAAGAATCCGGACTGGGAGATCCTTCAAACAGACGCGAAAGCCGAGGCCGAGGCAGCGAGCTGCGAGGCGAGAAGTCTGGAGGAGCTTCTGGCACCAAGAAACGGGAACGGGAGTGCTTTGAACACCGTGGACTTGCTTCGGGTTCACGTCGATGGCCGGGAGGAGACGGTACTGAAGTCTTTGGGCGACAAGCTGCGGCCGACAATGGTCAAGGCCATTGGTCTGGCCGTTTGGGCACCCGGATTTCGGAGAGAAGGTTACGACCCGGCTTCCCTCATCCGCTTGCTGCGGTCCCGCGGATATCAGCTGGCCCTTCTGCCACCGCCGTCCCGGAATGAGCCGCCCGTTCGGAATGATGAGGTGCTGACGGCACTTCAACGTCGGACTATGACCTTGATAGCTACACCAACGCCCGCTCTGAGAAGCTTGCCTCGTAGGTAACAGGACTGTCTTGGAACCGAGGCCAGCTGAACGAGCCGTTGCAGTGGGCGCGCTTTTCGCGGCAAGCCCTCCAGCGACTTCAAGCTCCTGCATTGCAGCACTTCGCGAGCACAGTCTCTGACGGCACGGTACTGTCATCGCTTGAGGCGTAGGCTGGTAGCAGCGCGAGCACGAAAGTCTCGGCATCCGCAAGCCTGCGTTCGGGAGCTGAGTACACCTGCCAGCTGCAAGATGCAGACGGACCTCTTGTTGGTTTCGTATGCGCTCGCGTTGCATTGCCTTGCCTTTTTCTGATTTCCTCCATGTTTTGATGCAACTGCTGTAATGTGAAGTGCAGTTCTGTGCCTCAAAGACTGACTGGCCCACCAACCAGAAACGCTGCTGCATTCATGGCGACACCCTTTCAATGAGCACACACATGGTCTTCTCTGGCAAGCCGTGTCAGACAGCCAAGCTTGCACACAACCTAGAGTGCAGCACTGCCGTTGCTTCAAGTTGTCATCATGCCATGACTGAGCAGACGTGCCAGTCATGCCATGCCTCAGGACCGCAGCTTGTGCTATTCCAAATGCCCCCCCCCCCACACACACACAAATGCTTCCCGAGATACGGCTCCACAGAAGCGGACTCGATGGTGCCGGAAGCCATGTTGCTCGGTCGCGATTGCGAAGGAACGGGAAGGGAAGCATGCAGCCTGCAGCCAGCAGCGTGAAGGTTTTGGCTTTCACGGGCATCTTCCAAGGTGTCCCTCTGACCCCAGCTGATGGCGGACACTCACGGCAGGCCCTATAAGCCTTCTTTCTTGCCTTCGTTTTGGACTTCAACTGAAGACTGGAAGACTGGTGACCAGAGGTCTACACTCTTGGGACCTGGCGCGTGAGCCGCGAGGCGACGCGATGCCACGGGCGGAGCCGCGAGCCGCAAGAACTCTCGCCGCTTCGGGAGGTCTACTTGTGGAAGCTGTCCTCGTTGGACGTGAAGCTCTTGGTGGACGCGCGTCGGCTGCTCAGTTCTCGGAGAGGATTCCCTGTTGGATCTGGCGCAATCGAGGTGGCAACCCGCGTGCTGGACGGGAAGAACAGCTGTTCCGTGGGAAGGACTTCACCAAAGCACTGTTGAGCATCGGTGTCAGCAACTTGGCAACTTTTCGGGCCGGAATCTCTCTAATCTCCTTCCTCCTCTCTCCAACACCACTCGTTCCCCTCTTCAGGATACGAGTACTGGGGCGACCGACTGGGAGAGGAGGCGGTAGAAGGAGCTGAGGCCGAAGACATCCAGCGTTTGTTGAAGGGGCTGCTGGCCTCGGCACCCTTCGGCCCGATCTGCATCTTTGGTCATCTGCACGAACCTCAGAAATGCCACCGGTTGCAGCTCTGCAATCTTCTTCCGAGCGGATGCCAGATCCAGCATCTCATGTGGGAAGATCACCGAGCGATTCGAGTGGTCGGGCACGAGGAGGCCAATTCGCTGTACAATCGCTGGGTTGACTTTTTCTACCAGCGCCGCTTGTTGGAAGAAGGCAAGAGGCAAAGGGAGAGGAGCCAAGCCGAAGAAATCGCCTCCGGGTGGCGACGTGCAAAACTGCGAGAGGCGGAGAGGGCGGATGCGGTAGCTGCTCGGCTTGCCGAACTGCAAGCCGGATCTTTGCCGACTCTACGTTGGGAGGAGCTCTCCCAGGCACAGTGGGAGGATCGACTCCGTGACGGCAAGGCCTACAGACTTCGCCTTCCCTGGAATACCGAGATTCTTTGGTATCCTCATTTTCTGGAGGATGGTGAGGCAGATCAGCTAGAGAGCACGGTTCAAGATCGGATCACCATGTATCATCCAACATATTTCTTCCAGACGCCCAGTGGGGTTGTGCAGGAAACTGTGAACCGGAAGGGCCAAGCTCGGATTTGCGATGATTTCAACTTCGGCATCCAGTACGATAGCTCTAAGGATGCAGCTGCAACATATGTTTCCCAGAAGATGGAGCCCTGGACTAGGTCCCTGCTACGCAGGATCGAAGGGGCCAGCGAGGCAGTCTTTAATGCAATCTGGTTCAACCACTACCGCGACGGTACCGTGACGATTCACTGGCACACGGACGGCAACGAGGGCCTCGGGCCCGATCCCATCATCGGGTCCTTGTCGCTTGGTGCCACGCGACCCTTCTGCTTTAAAAGCAAAAGGGCCTGGAAGGGCCGCGACGAGGAGACTGCTGGAATCATCCACCTAACCTTGCCGCTCTTTCATGGATCTTTGGTGGTTATGGGAAAGAACTCTCAGAGGCATTGGCTGCATGCCGTCCCGGCTATGGAGGGGATTCACCGAGAGCGCACCAACCTGACCTTCCGCTTCTGGGCACTGGAAGGCATAACGAGCGAACCAGCCGGCTGTCTACTGTAGCTGGTTACCCAGTAGTTCACGGACTGCTTCCCTATCGAACCAGAGTTTCATCAATAATACCAACCAATGAACATATCGGAATCATGTGTAATCGGAACAGTCAGAATCCTGAGCTGCTGCTTGTGACGTATTGTGCTCTGGAATCTGCGCATGTTCGTCTGCAGGCCACTGCTACCTTACCCTGCCCCAAGAGGAACCCCCTCAACGGCATGACTCCTGTGATTGCCTGTGATGGCTTTGTTGTAGGATATGTTGGGAGACTTCGTATCCCCGAAGCCCTCACACAGCGGGCTGCGTCAGGCTTCGAGACCATCGATGCAGCAGAGGCCCAAGGCAAGGAGACTACGGAGCACCCGCCAGACAAGCAAAAGTTCCGGTTGCACGTGGTACCCGATGCAAGCCTAGCGGAACAGACTTGCCGAAATGGTGGCAGACTGTGCCCCGTTATTGTGGATTCTCCCAGTGATTTCGCTACCACGACGGGCGAAATGTTGCGAAGGCTTTGCGACCATGTTCTGCCTTCGGGCATAGAACATCGTCACTTGGCCTTGTGTCTTGGAGCCGACAAAGCGGAGGGTGCGGCCCGGGCCCATGCCGAAAGGCCCCAAAGAGAGCTCCTGGACGATGCGCAGCCCCTCCGGAAAGAACTCGAGCCTCGATGAAACATCGCCTCTCTCAGGTGCGACCAGCATCTAAAGCTGGTCTGTCTTCCGGCTGTTTGCTTTTGCTTCCTTCTGCTTCCTTTTGCTTCCTTTTCCTGCTCATTCTTTGCTTCTCCCACGGTTTGAGTCTCCTGCGGTAAAGGAACGGCTTGGCCTGCTGCCGCAGCCGTGCCACGAAGTGCCCAAGATCACTCTCGCGCTGATCTGGAAGCCAGGAGAGCTTAGGGGAATCGGGATTGTGGCTGGCCAGTTTCACGGCGCTGGCACCATGCTGGCAGCTGTGACCTGGCTGCTAAACTAGGCGCGCGCACTCCGTGGTGGTGCGGCGGCTGCGCCGCCCTGCGATCCGAGGTTCCGCCGCGGAAAGCTGTGGAATTGGACCCGGAGGATGCGAAGAGCATCGTCGGAGCCGAAGATCTTTTCCGAGAGGTGCCAACTCTTCATTGCGCCATATTGGGCCCTAGTCTCTTTGCATGGCAGGTAATGCTGTCTGGGATTGGCCGGTACTCCCCACCCAGAGGGGCACAAGCAGAGGTGGAGTCCGAGAGTGGCGACTGGATTTGGGAGGTGACGCCTGGACTGCAGGGATTTGGGATACAGGGGATGTGAGCTGCAACTTCATTGAACGAGCCCCCAGCCCAGGATCCAGAATCTTTCGGGCATCCAGCGCAAGAGCAAGGGCAAAGGCCGCATCTCCCAAATGGTCTTCCATCAAAGCAGCGAGTTCGTCGCCTTGTATGTTGCCCGCTCGAAAAGCACTGTTCATCTCGTGAGGAACTCAGTTAGGAAAGGAGTTGGGGGAAAAGAAGCTCTAGCACGTAGCGACGTAGCAAGCCTTTTGCCCGAGAGGTGCTCTCGACCAAGCGACGATTGCAGTTTCCCAGCTTGTTGCCGGCGGACGCTGGGGCCTTGCGCCGATTGGGCCTGTACGGAAGGCTGCTTGGGCAAGTCTTGAAGGAAGAGTGTCCCAATTTGGAGTTTCAACTCGGAGTGCGAGTAGCTCGGTGTACGAGCTCGAAACAAATGGTTGCTCACCTCGTGAGCAGAGATTTCCTGGCACCAGACCCGATGGACCTCACCCAGCAGCATTATCTGGAATTCACGGGCGGTCCACAGACTTTCTTGCCTTTGGACGATTTGGCGAAGTCTGTGAAGCAAGGGAGCATGCTGCAACCCAAAGTGCAGCTGCATGTCGTTGCCTCAGCTGAAGCCGTCAGAGCAAGACTGAAACGAGCCGTCGAATCTGTGCCAAGGATCTCAGATGTCATCGCTGCCACCACTTCTTTGGGGACATGAGGCAGTTGATCCTTCATCTGCGGCGTCTGCTGCTGAGCGGACTCAGCTTCTTTAAGAGGCACTCTGTCTCTGTGGCGATCTGTGGGGGGGGGTTTCTGCTTTCGACTCGAGGCGGCTGCGCGGCAGCTCTCGGCTCGCCGAAGCACGGCCATGGCGGCCATGGCCCTGATGGTGGAGTGCATGTTTTGCGACAGCAAGTGATGCAGATACAAGCAGATGCAACCGTGGCAGGTCAAGCGGAAGACAAGACCCTGCTGGCTGTGAAAATGCTGGAGGAGATGGGCTTTGCAGGATGCGGGCGCGAGGGTCTGTGCGAGATCCTCAAAGCCGAGGCAGGGAGTTGGAGTTTCAGCGGTACATCACAGTCAATGGAGTGTTTACGTTGGTTTCCTCCTGAGGGGAGCCTCGAGCGTGCCGTGGAATTTCTGGCAACATGACTCAAACACGAGCAAAGCTCTCGATGGTGATGGTCCTTGCCTGGGGCCTTGTGCTGTGACTGGAAGACCGCAGCGAGCTGAATCTCTCGCCAGTATTTGTACAGGGCATGCAGAGGGCATTGCTACCATGCGTGGCGGGATGCAAGAAAGCGGACAGTTGCACGCTCTGCGAAGGGTTCTTGCGGATGCGTTGCTTGGGAGGCCGCCACAGATGCCTCCTGCGCAGGCTAGTTTGGCTTACTTCTTCACTCTCCCTGGCGCCGAGTTGTTGCTTCTTTTCTGAGGTTCCTCCAGCACCTCTCGTTCTGTCGCAAGCTCTGCCAATGCAGGCGTTCAATTTCCATTAGCTGAAGTACAAGACAACAGCAGTTCACTTTGAAGGCATGCGTGCAATCCTATGCCGGCTACCCCCCTGAAGCGGACAGGCCATTTCATGCCCTGCATGGATGGCGCCTAAAGTGATGACTGCTCTGCACTGTAGGCCTGTGAAACCACTTCTCAGCGTCCAACCTGTCCAAACATACGCTGGACCGCCAGCTGAGCAGGCCGGCCTGGTTTTTGTCCTCGGAACCGCGGCATTGTCATCTCACTTCACCTTGCGGGCAGGCCGTTCCTGGCCAGCACATCATCTACGGGCCAACGGTAGCATGCCTCAGGGAAACACTCGCTTTGTTGCAATCGTTGCAGTGGTTGGCCACAAAGGTTGGTGCAACGGATGGACCGATGCAAGAGCTCAGCTGAGAAGTCTTGTCTTTTTTCTGTTCATAGTGGTAGGCAAGTCTGGGCTGTAATTGACTCTTCAGCAAGGCCGTTCCTACCATTGTCATGACGTCGCAGCCCAGCCAGCAGATGCCAGCGCAACCTGTGGTGGCACAGCAGCACCTGCCTCCGCCACCAGCGCAGACAATGCCTGCCCACATGGTGCCAACAGCACCAGCACCTTTGCCCCCCCACACAGTACCCTCGATGCAGACAATGCCTCACACGGCACCTTCCATCCCTCCAATGCCCCATGCAGCCCACACCCTGGCCCAAACGATGCCGGCACAGCAGCTGCCGCCCGTGGGCACCTTGCCACCCCACATTCCGCCGCACATGGTGACACATGCAACTGCACCCGCTGCAGCTTTCTCACCTTATCAGTATCCCTATCAAGCAGCACCGCATCACCAGGCAAGCGGCTGCGTCAGTGTTAGAATCATTATGCCGCTTAGGCCGTTATGCACTGTTGCCAAAAGCCATTGGTAATACAAAGCTATCAGAAGACTGCACGAGCATGGCTGGCCTGAATGTGTTTACTCTGAAAGCTCCATCTCGAGGCTTATGGCGGCGTGCCATTGCCAGCATTCAGCGTTCAGACCAACCGTGAGCAGACCCGTGCAAAAGGTTCAGGAGGCGGTCGAGTGCCGTGTGCTGATGTAAGGTGCTGGACCCGACTCCCCCGCCGCCGATGCAGTCTCCGAAGCTCGGGCAGGCTTGCAGCCGAGATCTTGTCTTTGCCGTACGTGGCCATCGGACTTTGGCTTCATCGTTGTCGCCTTTGCCATCCTTTGCCTGCAGGCTGGCTTCCAGGCATACATGATGCCTCCTCCCATGGGTTCGCCTAGGCTGCCCATGTCCACTGCTCAGTTTGGATGGTTGGGAGTTGCTGTGGTTTTCGGCGCTTGTAGGAAGTGTGTGCTTTGCTGCCAGGGACATGAGACCGATGTTGGGCATGCAAGCTGCTGCGTAAGCTCTGCATGTGACTGGAAGAAGAGCCCGGTCCCAAGAGTACCTGCCGAACTGACCGGCGTGGTCCTGCAGCGACTTGCTCTGAGCTGGTGCTGACATGTCTGTGCGCAAACCTTGGGCTTTTCTTCTGGGGTCTCGCCGTATCTCCCCAAGAGCAGATAGAGGCAAACAGTCAAGAGTCAGAGCCAACGTGATCATGTTGCACCGATTACAGCCGGCGACAGTTTACATCACTTCACTTACTTCACTTCGCATCTTGCTGTCGGGATTTTCTTCAAGCGATGGCGACACCACTGAGCAGCTCAGAGAAAGCTGGAAATTTGGCTCCTAGGAGTGAGAGCCCTGTCCCAGCTCAAGGACGCCGGGCCTGGAGGTTCACCGCCGCCTTGTCGCTCTGTGGCCCGGCCCTTAGAACCGAGCAGAGGACTCCGGGATGAGCCCGGCGCCGGCACACAACCGAGGGCTGGCCGTCAACTGGCGCCTGCAGGGTTCCCAGCTCCGTCCCACGGTCGTCCCAGCAAAGTAGTTCTTGCTACAGGCCCCGGGCAGAAGTGGCAGTCAAGGACTGCAGTGATCCATGTCAATCTTGAGCCGCGAGACATTGCTGAGTGACTCGGTTCTGCACTTCTGTGAGGAAGGAGCTACCACCGTCGCAACAGGCCCCAATAAATGAGCTGCTGTCGGTGGTAGTGCTGCTGCATTAAAGCACGGCAGGTGCTTCTGGGACTTGTTCGGAGGCCTTGACCGCAGGGCAGCTCACCAGAAGAAGATGATATATAAGTGATGCTGAACTCGGAGAATGACAAAGAGCGCCCAGGCAAAACCGGTTTGACGACGCTCTGCGGGTTTGGACTGAGACATCGGCCGCGGGCCGCGGGATACCAGGCTTCGGCAGCGCAGCGGACAGTGCTGAGCAGGCCTGGACATGCAATTAATATGATACATATGCTTACGGAGAACAGTAGAGGAGGCCGAAGCCCTGGGCCCTGGCCCACAGCCTGCATTTTACACAGCCGTCCAGGCATCTTTGGCCGCCTTCGATGGAGAAGCTGGCCAGTCGATATCTCGGACTGCTTGTTCCCTCCGCTGCGCAAACGATGCCCACAATCCCTGCAATCTGGAAGGCAGGGTTCCTGCGATGCCCAGAGAAAGGCTTTGAAGGATCGGATCAGAAAGGATGCCCGGAGCTCGGGTGTCTAAACCTCTTGTGAGCCGTGTGGGGAGAACGTTTTCGGAGCTGCAGGTCCTCCTGATTTTTGCCCAGCAGCGTGTCATTTCCGAGCGCCAGGCACAGGCTGACCTCATCAGGCTGGCCGCACGCGAAGGACTTCTGCCACTTGCGAGAGAGAAAGAAAAAAAGAGGCAGCTGATGAACAAGATGACTCAGCGTGGCGGCCCTCTGCGAATCCAGGCAAAGCCTGTCGGAGTTCTTTGTCTCCTCCTTAAGAGAGAAGCGATACCACAGGAGAAGATCGCAATTCTAGAGGAGACCGTGGAGGCGTACAAGGCCTCTGCTGGGGCCCTGCGGCCCTCTGCGCCTGCAACGGGGGTCGGGGAAGGTCAGCGGAATTGAGATCGCCTGAGGTTCGAAAGCTTCGGCCCTCGTGGGCAGAAGGCCAAGTCGACTCCGAAGAGGCCGCCTCGGGGCCATTCCCGCGAGGGTGTTTCAGCCGTTTCAGCTTTCCAAAGCCAGGCTGCCACGGAGCGCCGCCTCGGCGAGCTACAGTTCTCCGTGGAGGCCTGCATTTCAAACCTCAGAAGGTCCAAGCTCACATGCTGACTGCACAGGAGAGCGAGGAAGGATTGACTTTGCAAAAGAAGTGGGAAGATCGCCAGAGACCCAGTGCAGAGCGTGGAGTCTTGTAGGCAGCCCTTGGGCAATTCGATATGAGATGACGTGGTATGACTGGTTGGATAGGCGTGACGAACGAATTCGGAACGGCAGGGGCTAGCTTACAGCACCACCTGCTAAAGTTGTGACGAGTCTGGTCTGTCAGCCGTTGCTGAGGGCTGCGGAGATTCGATGAACGAACTTGTGTCACAAGTAGCATGCCATGCAGTTGCAGTTCCACTTTATGTCGTCAAGGGCATCAGGACCGTCACACGGCAGGCAGCATGAGCGAACGGATGTAGCTTGGCAAGGCAGCGATGCACCGTTGTCGGTGTCGACTCACCACACAGCTTGTGGTGTTGTAAACTATAGTAACTGCGTGACCTGACTGAGTGGGTACTCCCCGACATCGAGCAGAACGGAAAGGTCAAGAAACATCTTTTCAGATCATGCTGCCTGCCAGATTGCGGCGTCGAGACATCGCGAGAGTCAGAACTGTACTGAGTAACAGACGCCTCACGAACTCAATCGCACAAAAAATCAGGGAGACAACGCAGAAGAAAGAGATAGAAAGAGTGCACCGATCCTGCTGCTTCGCAGGGCGCATGAGAGACTTGATGAGCAAGCGTGCTTATGGTGTCTCAGTGTTCGCACCTCGGAGTTTCAAGCTTCCCTCCATGCCTTGAGTGCCTCAACAGCTAAGAGGTCCTTCGATCCAGCCTTGCGAGTTCTTCTACGCCCAGAAGGACTAGGAAACTTGCAGGCCCCAGAGCGAACGCATGCGAGCACAGAGCACCGAGCACATGCGAGCAGCACAGGTCTTCTCCCAAGGGCCTCTGGGTCCTCCGAGCCACCCCGCCAACGTGAACTTTGGCGCTCGATGCCAAGGAAATCCGGGAACGAAGGAGGCTCAGCTCGAAGCTGCCCCGAGGTCATCAACGATGCGTCGATGCCAGACGTCTACCGAGAGCATCCCGTTCCACCTTTCGTGAGACGCTCAGGGCTGGACAGCCGTCACCCCGGAGCCACGTGGAGTTGCCGTTGACACTTGCATCCACGTGCTGAGTTGGCTGTGCAGCCGGCGGTGAACGTGAATCTGAACCTGGGCTCTGGCTCTTGAGTTTGAAAAGGCACCCCGAGCCTTTGTACTCACTTTCTGCTTTGCCAGTGGATTTTTAGCCCTGGCGGGAACGTGGTTTGCTCGCGAGCTGGACGCGATGGAATTTACTCACACGGCCCCCATGTTAGAAAGCCGGGCAAACACGGGTTCTCACCTTGCTTCGGCCCCTTACCGAAGCAATGGGATTTTGTAGAGCTCCTGCCCCAATGTCGCACCCGGCGGAAAATAGTTTGTTTTGCTCCTTGCTGGTTGTGCTTGTCGGCTTTGCGTGACCAACCTGGCGAACCAATATGCATCGCCGCACCATGCTTCAGGTGTAACTTTCTCAGCGGTCTATGTGCCTGCACCTGAGGGACACTGACCTATGCATCTTTTCTGAAGAGCTTACATACAACTCCTGAGTTTGCGGTCAGGCCATATCAGGACAGGTCCGCTGTGAGTGACTTGACTTCGTCTGATGTGCTGCAAGAGGCTAGAGTAACAGACCGGCCGTGTGGTCAGCGATCACCCGAGTCCGTGCTATGTTGATATCGGTTCTTTTCTGTTGTCTTGGCCGTGCTGTTGCCCCTCTTGAGCATGTGAGCTCAGCGGCTGGAGCTGCAGAGCGGCCCCGTACAGGGCTCGGAGTGTTCGGGAGCTTTCATAGATGGAGGCGGGATGAAAGAAAAGGGATGGAGTTGTTTTTTTTTCCGCATCTTTAGTCAGCTGTGATTTGCGAGGGGCACGTGCCATGTTTCACTCCTCGGCGCCACCTCGCAGCAGTGCCAGTCCTGTATGTCGTGCTGTCGGCTGTATCGGAGCTCCGCTCCCCGTCGCCGCACTGCAAGACGCCAGGGCAAGAGCAGAGCTGAAGCGAGAGTCGTTTCGATACTAGTTACTAGTTAAAGTAGATTATGCCACTTCTGGGCTGCTCATCTGACAGCTCTCCTGTTCTGCAGCTCTACCTCAACTGCACAGAGTTCCTGGTGAAAGGACCAGGGAAGCTCCTTAAGACCTTTCTGGCAGGTTTGCATTCTGCGACAGCATTGACCTCCTGTCATAGTCATGATGGGATCGCCAAACCTCCCAGAGGCCAGCTCCTGCAAGGCACCTTTCAACATCTCATATCGAGACTGTCATGCCCTTTAGGCTGCAGACACGAAGTATTTAAATGAGGTGATGTGCATGATTCGGGCTTCGTGTGGACTCTGCAGTTGAAGTACTACGAGCTTCAGCACAGGTTGTGTCAGCCTTATTGCCGTACTCGCACAAAGACTTTTGACCTGCTTACATCTTCTGCCACACTGTCGCCCAGCGACCGCGTGAACGCCTGGAGCACTCGGGAACGTGCACCTGGTCGTGAATTAGTAGTGTTAGGATTGGATCGATGTTGGCGACAGGGGATCGGCGATCAAGGACCGCCTCTGTTGCCCAAACGGCGCATGCGACTTGACGAAGGAGTTTGCAACAGAGAAGCTGGCTTTGGCTCATGGTAAAACGGCGGTTTCACATCTGAACCTTGGAGAAGCACGACTTGCGATGCCACTGAATCTTCGAGCCACGTCCCACTTTGTTGTTGTTTGTCTATCTTGGCTTCGGATTCGATGTCAAGTGTGTGGCGCCTGCCCTTGAGCCGCACACCTATTCGCTCTTGTAGCTAACCCTCCATAGCCGCAACCTCAGGTGCTCTTGCCAGACTTGTAACCCAGATGTGTGGACGGAGATCGGGCTTCAGATCGTAGCAGCCAAGGTCCTTTCCGAGAGCGACTAATTCACGTAGTGAGCGCAATTAGCCAGCGATGTTGCTTGAGAGATTTGAAGATGCATCGCCGAGAGGTACCTCATCAACTAGAAAGCAAGCGAGCAACGCTCGCCGGCCGAGGACTAGCGGCCAGGCGGGGCTGAAGCTGGTGCTATGAGAGTCACGTTGCCCATCTCAGAAGTTCAGGCAGAGTGCTGTGAGCAGTTCATCGGTTTTCCATCTTACCCCTTGTGACATCTCGGGCGTCAGCCTCAGCCTGCGATGCCCTGTGTTGGCCTTGTTCAGATTGTGTCACGCAGAGTCCTGCATTGCCGCCTTATGCAGCATATCCCGCGGACAACAACTTTGCGTACCCACTGTAATCGAGTCTTCTAGAGGCACCTTCCAGCACAGGCATATGATCCAATAATTGTGAGAGAGACGACATGGCTGCTTCTCGCCGTGGCTTCTCCGCCAATTTGGCGATGCTCTTCCAGGACTTACTCGTAGCCTGCAAACTCGACTTTAGCGGCACATCTTGCCATGGCAATTGCAAGTGCTTTGGCCTCACGCAGGAAGTGCCTTTCCTTGATCGCCTCAAGCGGGCGCGGGCGGCAGGATTCGCTGCTGTGGAGATTTCGACGCCAGAGCTCTTCAGCCACCCACCGGAGCATGCCGCTACGCAGCATGGAGCAGTCGTGAAATGCATTGCGGCATGAGTCACGAGTGTTCTGTGACTCTTCGGACCCCCGAGGTGGCAAGTGCATTGCAGGAGGAATGCCTCAAGTGTGTTCTCTTCAACATGCCGGCCAGCTGGCAATCATGTAATGCCTATGCGGGACGAATATTGTGAGGTCTAGGTTTAGGATCCCATGTGTTTCTGCGCCAGTATTTGTGCGGTAGGGCTGATTTTCGAGTGTAGACCGTTTCAGGAACTGACTCCAAAAAAAGGCACAGAAGTCAGGAACTGCATGGACCAATTCAGGCCCAGCGGATCGGGACAGACACGACCAAATTCAGGAAGCCGACGGCCCCAATTCATGAACCACGAGGGCCGAATTCAGGAACCGTGCCTGTCCGGCTGCTGGGTCGGGCCTCGGGATTCGGACTTGGCGTTTCGACTTGGGATTCCGGCTTTAGGGGTTTCGGCCTTCAGGTTTCGGCCTCAGGGTTTCGGCTTTGCGGTTTCGTCGTTTGGGGTTTCGGGCTTAGGGTTTCGGCCTCAGGGCTTCAGGGTTTCGGCCTTAGGGATTCGGGCTAAAAGTTTCGGCTGCGGGGTTTCCTTTCGGCTTAAGGCTTCGGCTTTAGGATTTCCGCCTGAGGGTTTCGGCCGAGGATTTCGGTTTTAGGGTTCGGTTTCGGCCTTGGGATGTGTGAGGGTTTCTGCCTTGGGGATTCCGGCTTTAAGCGTGGCTTGGGGATTAAAATTTAGGGTGTTGTTTGGGCCTGGCCTTGAGATTTCGGCTTTCGGGTTTTCGGCTCCAGGTTTAGGGTTTGGTTTCGGGCTTGGTGTTAGCTCCAGATATCACGTCAATGCAGGAAGTCAGATCCATGTGTGCCGGAATTGTATATCTGTCTTGAAACAGCATATCCGAAAAGATCCACTGGCGCCTGAATTTTGACCCACTGGTTGGGGAGGCACGAAGTGCCGTATTGACAAGTAGATGCTCTATAACCTCAGGGGTTGGGAGATGGCGGGAGTGACGCCACTTCGCGTGGCCATTTTGGCTCAAGGATGTGCCAATCAAGATTTGATACGAGGGCGGGGGGGCGATGTCTACGCTGGTCCCCTCTCCCGAGGTGCTGGAAACATGGACAAGCATTGATGATGCTGTAGCCTGGTCAGGGCTATTGCAAAATCAGATTCGGGCTGTTGCCCGTCAGCTGGGGGATGCAGATATGCGTGATTTGCCAGTGTTTGCAGCTGTATCTGCCGATGAGTGGGAACAAGCTTTAGATCATGCTCAAGTGGGTGCTAGACCTTTGGGCGCTTTTGAGAAAAGCAAGCTGCGCATGCTGGCGAATGCTGTTCGTGCAAAGTTTTCTTTGGGCCCAGTCTTTAGTGTTGCTGCGGCAGTGAGGACACCAGACTGCACGGGCAGCACAGGCAGCCCCAGTTCTGTTGTCACCAAGGTCAAGTTAAAGCTCAGTCAGGTGATTGACCAAGGTGCAGATCAGGATTGCGAGATGTTGCCGATGGCCGAGTTGATGGCTTATCGCCAGAGATATGTCGATGTTACCGGCGACGCGCCGCTGGAAAAGGAAGAAGTCACGGATGCACAGTTGTCCTGCTTGAAAGCGAAGCTGGACCTGGGCCAACCACCGTTCATCGACATGGGCGTTTGGGGCGCCTACGGCGATCGTTTGGCAAGACAGATGAAGTTCACCAGCCAGATGTTGAAGGATGGGCAATGGAAGGCAGTAGAGCTTCCAGGCGCCTCCACTATCCAAGCCTGGGAGGAGTGCTGGCGCATTTTCCGCACGGCATGCATCATGCTTGATGTTGCCTCTGCAGCGGTACTTGATCGGTACAGCGCGGAGTTCCGAACCAGAGTGATGGACTACCCCGATGCCTGGCACTTGGCAGCGCAAGCAGACATTCGTTGCAGAAGCGAATGGTGGGCACAAGAGCAGCGAAGACAGCTGGCATTCCATGGCACGAATCCAAGCTTGGCTACGTACAACCCCAAGCAGCCGTGGAATTCTGTGATCAAAGCAAGTGCGTCTTACACCGAGTTCTGGAGAAAAGAGTTTGAGCAGCCAGCTTTGAGGTACCAGTGCAATGGTCCCAGACCAATGCCTGCCAGCTTTGATCCACCGCCTGGCGGTGGAACCGGGACGCCGAGAGGAGAAAAGCGGAAGTTTGATCCGCAACGCAAGGATGGCAGGTATTTGAAGTCACGCAATGGCATCAATATCTGCTACGATTGGTCTCGCTGCAAAGACGGCTGCTCCAACGACAAGTGCGAGAAGAACATGGCCCATGTCTGCGAGTGGTGCCGCCAACCACATCGCAGCATTGACTGCCCGCAGATGCCTGGATGGACACCGCCCGAGCCGAAGCCGGGCAAGGGCAAAGGTGCAGGAAGGGGCGCTGGTGCTGGCAAGGGCGGCGCCAAGAGCCGCAAAGGTTGAGAAAGCTCGACACAGCCACAGCCCTTGTCGTCGAACTCAGTTGCGCGGGATCTCCTAAAGGAGAAGCCTGAGCAGCTGAAGGCTAGAGTGGCACAAGGGCAGAGTGCTGACTGCATGCAGAATTCACACCATTTCCCGGCACCGCAAGTTGGGAAGCAGCACAGTGAGGCCCGCTTCCTGGAGCTGGCTGCAAGTGAGGCAGGGCTGACGAAAGCTGTTAAGTCTTGTGGGGCTCGTGTTTTCAGTACCGTGGAGTGCCGCGACCTCTTCGGGAGTGACTCTTTTGATCTCTGCGATCTTTCAGTTTTCCGTAGTATTCGTAAGCTTATCAGACAAGGGCAGGTGAGGTGGCTGCATTTGGCCCCACCTCAGAACACTTTCTTCAAGGGTCGAAGATGTTTCAAACGCCTGCGGATGTGGGCGCTCAGAAGTGCATCACAGCCGGGTGGATTCACGCCGAGATCTCCAGCCGTCATTAAGGCCAATCTGGTGGCTGCACGCACGGCTCAACTGGCCAACGCTCAGCGGCGCGCAGGAGGCTGGTTTACTGTGGCGGGCCCGTCCAGCTCACTGCTGTGGTCCTACGCCCCCTACAAGATGCTCCAGGGAAAGTCTGGGGTGGCGATAGTCGAATGTGACCAATGCAGATTCAACGGCGAATACCAGAACCCGACTGCATGGCTCACCAATGGTCCTTTTGTGTCCGTCCTAGCACGCAAGTGCCCGGGACTACCTGCACATGATCACTCCGAAATCGGAGGAGGACCTGAGCTACCGCAAGGACTCTGCGAGACACTGGCAGGCTCGTACTCGAAGTCGCTTCGTGAACAACCAGACAACACACCCTTGAAGGTGACTTGGAGAGATCAAGACCCTAAGGCGCCAGAAGGGTCCAAGAAGCGAAAGCGCGAACAAGAAAACTCCGACTGTATCGGAGGTCTGCGGCACCCTGCTAAGTCGTTGCGCCGAGTGCCAGGGTGGAAAGCCGTAGGTGCCCACCTTAGAGGCGCCTCCTCCAGGAAAACCCTAGTCTGTTGGAGGTGGCAGACGCTGTGGGCGCTGAGAGAGAGATTCCACAAAGGGACCTCGCGCTTGTGCAAAGCAAACTGGCTTCTCTTTTCAAGCTTAAAGACATTCCAAGGCAACCTGGGCTGTGGTCAGAACTGCTGGTCCGCTTGGTGGAAGAAAGTGGTGATCCTGACTTGCCGGCGGCAACATGGCCGCAGGAGGGTACGCCTTTAGGCATCACAGCCCCTATCCCTCTTGGAGGAGTCTTCCCTTTGCTGGAAAGAGACGATGCGCAGTTCGAAGGTCGTCGGCTTGACAACTTGGAGGAGTTGCGAGGTGCTGACACGAACTACAGTTCTTACGAGGAGCACCAAACACAAGCCGACGCGCTCTTCCAAGAAGAGCTCGACGCTGGTTTTGCTGTGGCGCACGAAGACAGATCAATGCTTGAACAGCAGGTCGGCCCTTTGGTTCCTGCCGCCATTGGAGTCATCGTCAAGAGAAAGCCTGATGGGAGCTTAAAGTTTCGTCTGGTGCACGATCTGCGCCGTAACGAAGTGAACACCCACATTGAAATGTGGGAAAGACTCGTTCTTCCGAGACTTCGAGACGCGCTTGAAGACGCCTTGTCGCTGATGGAGTCAGCGAACCAAGGTGAACAGGTGTGGTTCCTCACCCTCGATTTCAGCAATGCCTTCAAACAGCTCCCCACGCGAACAGAAGAAAGGCGCTTTCTGGCTGGCTGGGCTGCAGGCAAGTGGTTCTACTACAAGACAGTGCTGTTTGGGGTGAGAACTGGCCCCTTGGTGTGGGGTAGAGTGGCTGCTCTGCATGGTAGCACGGGCCTGCCAAAGCATGGCAGGCGACAGTGAGTCACGCCTCCAGCTCTTTGTCGACGACCCTTTGGTCACCATGAAGGGCTCCACACTTGAGAGGAGATGGTGCGTCGCACGAGTGTTGTGGCTCTGGTTGGCTCTGGGCCTCAAGTTGGCTTGGAAAAAGGGCACCCTTGGAACAGAGGCCACTTGGATAGGCGCCACGCTGCAAGCCGACATGTCCAACCAGATAGTCAGGGTGAGCATACCTGCTGCCAAGATCCAGGAATGGCAGAAACTGGCACGGGACATGTTGGCAAGGCCTTGGACGCATAAACGTGACGTCCAGAAGGTCGCTGGCAAACTGTCTTGGGCGGCGGGCATCATTATTCAAGCAAAGCCCTATGTGCGCATGCTGTACGCTGCTTTGAAGGTTTCCAGGAAGGTAGTGTACGCCAAACAGCTGAAACACGCCCTGCAGTGGGTGGTGGCTCTCATGCAAGGGTTCAACAACGGCTTCACTTACGAAGTCAAGGCCCACACAAGGCACCTCCTGGGATTAGACCTGACTGTCGACGCCTCACCCTGGGGAGGCGGTGCAGTTCGCTTCGTCAACGGCATGCCTGCCGAATGTTTGGCCTTAGTCTGGACCAAGGCAGACGAGAAGCACGCGCAGGCTCGAATAGGCGACCCTGGCTCTCAGGCGCAATGGGAAGCCTACATGGTACTCCTTGCCCTGTGGCGGTGGCTTAAGCCTGAAACTGAAGGCCACGTGAGGGTGCAGGGAGACGCCAGCCGGTGTCTTGCAGAGCTTTTCTGGCCGACAGTCCAAGTCTGAAAAGCTATCCAGGATTGTTCGAGAAGTTACTCTGCACCTCGCTCTAACGCACAGGGCGCTTGAAGCCATTCATATCTGGAGTGAAACCAACCAGTGGGCAGACGCCCTTTCAAGGCTGTGTGACCCCAACGAGCCTTCCGTGGTGCCGCCAGAGTTGCGGCATACCCCGCTGCATCGTTGTACACCGATGCTTTGGCGGGTCTTACCAGTCATCACCAGTTGATCTGGTCGCAAAACAGTTTTCTCGCGCAGTGTGCGCAATTGTCTTGATGACAAGAGCGGGAGGAAGGGGATTGATTCCCATAGTTGCTCTCTCGCTGCAGGCTCATGCGCAGCCCTTCGTCTCTCCCGCCATGTTTATCTGCAAGGGTATGCCTAAACTCCGAATTTCGTTTTGCACTTCTTCCGCCCATCCTGGTTAGTGGCTCAATGAAGCGACCACATGCCGGCGCAGCATGGCCAGGACAGGGTTCTGTCTGGAGCGGCCTGAAGACTTCACAGCCTTCTAGAAGCCCTACGTTTGAACATGGCCGTCTCAAACAGTCGGCGACACAAAGTTTGGTGGATGCAGGCATGGGCCGGGCATGTTTGATCAGAGTCTGTGCTCTTTGTCACCACAACATCGATGAGGCTTTCACCTTTTGCCCTCGATGTGACGATGGCCCCTTTCATGAGTCATGCATTGTATTTCATGCTTGTCACAATGCTGTGAGTTCCTTTTCTCCCACCCTCTCGCCGTCCCACGAGGGGGATGAGGGAGAGGACAGCGAGATGCGGCCAGGAGTTGTCAAGTTCCACTCTGCAGAAGAGGCCACTGAGTTTCTACGTGACTGTCCTACCGCTCCCGCGCCTGCGGTGGACTCTGAAAGACGGGGAGGGGAGACACCCCCTCTCAAAGGGCTCAGGTGGGATGAGCCGCGAGTCAAACCGTACCGCAGGGGTTCAGAAGCAGCAGTCAAAGCAATCGAAAATGACCCTGCAGCACTTTGTCAAGCGGTGCAGGATTTTGAAACTGACAAGTTTTCGGCTTCTAACGTAGGCACTGCTGCTTCGAGACAAGCCTGGTGGAAGAGGAGGGCTGAGACTGCACAGATCTCACCATATCCTCTCGACGTGGATAAGATTAGCCTCGCCGGCACTTTGCTCAAAGCTGGAGGTTATCGCTCAGCTGGAGCGTATTTGACTTTCCTTGGACTGACAAGCTGCAGCTAGCTGTCAAAGACGCACTGAGGAGCTGTGACAGAGGATTGGGGCCTGATAAGCAGTGCAAGGCCTTCGATTTAGACAAGGTGGCTCAGCTTGCACCGCTTCCTACACAGGACGGGTGGCCGCGTTTCCCGAAAGAGACAGTGATTCTGTTCAGCCTGTTCGCTTGCCGCGAGATTGAGGCAGCCTTGCGAACGAGAGCACAGGTCACCTTTGAAGAGAAGCGGTTGACCTGCGGAGTAGTCGTCCTGTACCTACCTGCCAGCAAGGTTGACCCCAAAGGACAGGGAGTGATTCGAAAGCAAGGCTGTACCTGCCACTCTGCACCCGGACTCTGCCCAGTCCGCGCTGCTGAGGTCATTTACGAAGAGGCGGGCAGGCGTGGTGCTGCCGCCGACGCACCTTTCCTAGCCACTGAGAAGGTGGGTGTAGCACCAACGAAGGCTGCAATGATCGAAATGTTTCGGTCTGTTGCCCGAGCCCTGGGTTGGAGTGCAGACGACGTGGACAGCTTGACCGGTCATGTGCTGCGCCCTAGCGGGGCACAGTTTATGGCCAGGCAAGGCTTGGAATACTATCGCATTCAGCGCTTCTGTAGATGGGGCTCCGATACGATCTTGAAGTACTTGAGAGACTCGCCGCTTGAGAACTCTGAGAACTGGCTTCCGTCCTGCCTTCAGAACGTGACGGTTGAAGAGCTTCAGGCCCAGTCTTTGCGGCGTCTGCTTCCTGACGCCACCGCAGAGCCTCAGGTTCAAGAAGAGTTGAAAGCCAAGGTCTGGGACGCTTTGGAACCTCGTGTTACGCAGTTGTTAGGCACCCTTGAAAAGAAGGAAGACGACATTTGGGAGCTAGTGCGAGAACTTCGCACCTGTCAGGACCAGGCTAAAGATGTTTGGGCCTCAGAGCTTCAGAGAAGATTCATGCCGCGGTTCCTCATGAACTGGGCAAGCGGTATCGTCCACAAAGTTCGGAATGATTCTCATACCTTTTGCGGTCTTGATTTTAGGGGCCGTCTTGATGTCACATTGCTTCGCAGCTTGCCTCCTGACGCAAAGATGTGTCGGGCCGCAGGATGCGCACAAGCCAGCGAACTGCACGAGTGAGCAAAGCTTTCAACGTTTGCCCTTGCACTCGCTTGCCGCCTTCCCCCGGAATGAAGGGAGAAGGACTTGATGTCCACCCTGCTTGTATGGCAGGTCCGGGGTTGGCCTGTCGCTCCCCTGAGATCCTCAACAAGCGAGGCGGGGCCCTCACGGTTAGACTTCAGATGTCCAACTTCCTTCCGGCATCCGCGTTGTGATGATAAAACTTTGGGAAGGGGGGGGCGGGCCGAGTGTGAGTGAGCATTGGATTGTCGGGGAGGCACGAAGTGCCGTATTGACAAGTAGATGCTCTATAACCTCAGGGGTTGGGAGAGGGCGGGAGTGACGCCACTTCGCGTGGCCATTTTGGCACAAGGATGTGCCAATCAAGATTTGATCCCACCCACCCAACCCTATTTAATGAATCAATGAAGGGAGAAGGACTTGATGTCCACCCTGCTTGTATGGCAGGTCCGGGGTTGGCCTGTCGCTCCCCAGAGATCCTCAACAAGCGAGGCGGGGCCCTCACGGTTGGACTTCAGATGTCCAACTTCCTTCCGGGGCCCTCACGGTTGGACTTCAGATGTCCAACTTCCTTCCGGCATCCGCGTTGTGATGATAAAACTTTGGGAAGGGGGGGGCGGGCCGAGCGTGAGTGAGCATTGGATTGTCCCTGAAATTGACTCTCGGGGTTCTCGAATTGGGTCGTTCCAGTTCCGGAGTTGGACCAGACAGTTCACGAATTGAGTTCCAGAATTTCGATTTTCTTGTAGAATTGACCACGCAGTTTCTGAATTTAGTTCCTGAATAAGTCGTCATCCGCTAGTTCTCTCTCTTTCATCTAGTGTTTACCAGACGTTGACCATCAAGACGCAAGCAATGATATTCGTTCATATCCTCGGTCATGCAGACAATCACGTGCCGTGAACCCCTGCAAGCTTGCAATGTGTAGAGCTTTTTGCCTTGACGTTGGGGGTGCAACTCTGGACGAACCCTTGATGATCCACATCATCGTATGACCCGGTTCGAAGAAGGCCTCCGTAGTAGTTGGCTGAAGCAGTGCACTAAGGTATTTTCCATCGGCGGTTCATGGATATTTCTAACTTCCAACAAGTCAGAACATGATTCACAAGTTTTGCCCGAAGTATGGTTGCAAGTTAGGTGTCGCTGCAGCATTGATTCGCGAACGGGTTTACATCGGTGCATCCAGAGCTCATGTTTCCCAGTGAGTGGAGCTTGTTACTGAGAGCATCTGTTGAAAAGTGGGGTCTGTCGTGAAACGGTCCACAGAACATTGGGTGCGAGAGAGGCAAAGAGAGGCATGGACAGCTCCCGCGGACGGAGCATCTAGTCGTGGAGCTTCGGGGGTGCCATTTGCGCACTCTTTCACGCACATGCATTCTTGTGGAAAGTGTTGGGGTTTACCTTTTTCTGAGGCCGGGGACTGGACGGCCGGCGAGCGCGGCCTGGCGGCAGGAGCTTCGCGCGAGGACTTCGAGCGCTCCCTGAACATCACTGTGGACTACGCAGTGAGGCGCAAAACAAACCCAAAGAAGGAGGGATTATAGGGCCGCTAGGGATGCTGTAGGGCTTTAGGGTTGACAGCGTTGAGGCCTTGCACCCCTGCAGGCTCGAGTGTCCAAGGGTTCACTGCTTGGCGGGCTTGTGCTCAGAGAACACGTGTGACGAGACCTACCAGCAAAACCTGGAGCGTGCGGTCCGCGTCCTGGGCACCATCGGCGTTGAGGCCAGCATCCGCCCGGCTTGTAGTGCAAATACGTCCGCGAATCCTACCGAAAGGTGGTCATCGAGCCCATCAACCAGCGCAGCATGCTTCTTACTCAAGATCGCAGCAAATCTCAGAATGCCAGGGCAAGATTTCATAGCCGAGGCCTGGCTATCATTTGAGCTCTCTGCCGCACGCTGCTGCCATAATCCGCAGCGTTTCTGCCAATCTACCGCCAGAGCTGCGGGGCGGGCGAAGTGGCGCTACCGGTGGCTTGAAGCTCCTCTTCGATTTCTTCCATTGTCAGATCATGCACGGCAACTTGGCCGTTACGGTAGTTAGTTTCACACTTCCCAGAGCTGTGTCCAGAAGACAGTAAGGCGACCTCACCATGAACCTCCGCAAGTACGCGGCGCCTTGGGTTGCGTGCTTATTGCTTATCAGATTTTACGGAGCATGCTCGGAGCTAGGCAAAACCACGACGAAACAACACATACTGGGCAGAATTTTTGCAGGCAATACGGATTGTCAGAAGCAGCATCTACATCAGCACTGCGTATGCTTGGATTGGTTATCATCGGGCCGAAGGGATGTCCACTTCACGCTTCCGATGGTGCTCCTGGCCAGAATCAAGAAGTTGACTTCGAAAGGCCCCATAACCGGTGGATATGGGCTTCTTGCTTCCAATCTTGTGCTTTGGAATGTTCTTGCGGTGGACTAGTACTACCAGGATGGTGACCCACGGACGTTGTGGCTGATGAAAAGCCACGAGCCACACACTTCTAGTTTCCAAGTGGTCCGTGTAAATCGGTGCCTGGAACTTGAGAGGAAGATGGCCATTTGCTCTTGTTGGCCGTTCCCTGTGACCTGCAGTCTTGGCTAAGGACCTCATCGGCCACGTTCAAGTTGCAGGAGTTCCAGACAGAGCTGAGCCAGATGACAGGCCCAAACTTTCCAAAAACTGGCAGGGAACGAGCTTAGACCCCTTGAGCCTCGGCCCACGGATGCCGAAAGAAGCGCCGTCTCCCGCAAGTATTTTTTTGCAGATCTTGTTTCGGCATCTTGGGTTTCAGGTATGTTTCGTCAGTACACCCCGAAGGCAAGAGATAAACTTTCCGCACCTTCTGCAGCACGTTCTTCGGGGCGAGCTAGCACCCAAGCTGCGATGATACCGGGTTCTGTTGGCAGGGTTTGCTGCTTGAGAAGACATTCCATGGCTGCACAGGCCTACACAGGACACGTCGGCTTGGAGTACCATCCGCGTCGTACGACGGAAGAGGGCTTGGCCTGGCTTGAGAAGCTTCCGGAGTAGACACTTTTACTGTGGATTGCGACGGAGACAAAATTTCAGCATGAGCGCGTCCATGTACATATAATATGCCTTCCCACACGTGAAGCATAGCCTTAAACATAAGCATGGATATGAGCAGCAAGAGAAATGCAAACATACATACTTAAAGAAGTCATGAACTAAGTATAAGAAGATAAACATGAATATAATCTCAGAAAATGCAGGTTGAACTTGCAGTATATGTTATATATAACGTTTTTTGGTGAGCGTCTCGTGCTAGGCGTTAGACGGTTACTGTGGCATAGAAGGCTGCAAGAACGGTACGTTCAATTGAGGCGGCGCGGGACTTCGCGGGACGGCACCTTGTGTTTCTGTGGGTCTCAAGTTCGTGTGGTGGGTGTGTGTGTGTGTGTGTGTGTGTGTGTGTGCGTCGCTGCTTGAGGAGAAATGACCTGCAAATCGATCCTGGCTGTTTGCTTGGCTCCCCCCTGAGTCCATGAGTGCCGGGAATCAAAGGGATCGCATTCCTCAGCCTGTTGGGAGGGCTCAGGCCGAGGTAGGGTCAGAGTTTATGCGGCCATGGCGGGTAGTCTCCTCGCAGACGTCTCACGCTTGGGCCCGGAGAACGAGTTTTCAGACGTCGTGATAACTGCCGGTGATCATCGCCGTGAAGCAAACAGTGTCATCCTGGCAGCACGCTCCCCAGTGTTCAGAAGCATGTTGGCTTCGTGCATGCTGGAAGGTCAGCTCCTGGATGGTAAGCGACACGTTCATTTGCAGGACATACCTAGAGCTGTTCTGGATCAGGTACTGCGCTGGTGTTACACAGATTCAGTGTCGAACCTGGATATGTCCGAGAGCATGGACCTGTTGATGGCAGCCGATCGCTTCGAGCTGTCAGGGCTAGTCCTGAGATGCTCCCAGCGCCTTTCCAAAATGTTTGGCACGGCTGATCTCCCGGAAGTGCTTGAGCTGACGAAGAGGTTTTCATGCACGGCGCTCTGGGATTGCTTGGCACCAGTGATTGCCAAGGCAGGTCCGGGAGATGAAGGCGTCTTTGAAGGCATGCCAGACAGGCTGAGGCAGAAGGTGCTGCAGGAGCGACAGCATAATCTCGAACGGCGGGCCATCGGCCTGCGCGAGCGCCTTGCAATGGTCCCAGCACCCCGGCCTTCGATCGTCTTCTGGCGCCAGCAACTTTCAGAACACGACCAGCAGCAACTCGTCGAGCAGGCCGTGCTAAAAGAGGGCGGGGTGCCGGCCCTCTTCCATGGTTTGCGCGAGAAGCTCCCTGGATTTTTCCGAGAGGCCTGCCAGAAGCGGTGGGAAGCCTTGGATGCTTCCACGAAGCAAGGATTCGAGGCGCGGGCGATCGAGGATGCAGAAAAGTCCGAAGAGGCTCACGTGCGCCTGGAAGAGGAGCTTGAAGATGTCCGCCGTGAGCTGAAGCTTCTTCGGGCTTAAGCGAGGTCTTCAAGCGACATCCCTCAAGCTGAAGTGGTGGAATCGTGCAGAGTCAAGGAGGCTCCGCTCCACCCTCCACAGGCGGAAGCGGGCGAATGCGGGCGAGGCCATTGCGAAACCCGCCACAGAGAGACCGCGTGTAGTTGCTTCCGGCCCGGCGTCTCGGGCTTCTGCCGACCAGACTCGTTTCTGGTGACGTGACGTCATCGCGTGCTATGGCTGTAGATAGAGCCAGGGCTGTCCAAACTGACAGCGGCACGGAAAACACGTGCAAAGTACTCGTAACAACCACAGTCGCAGCAAGAGCAGCAGATAGCAGATGTCAGTCATCCAAGGCCTGTGCCTCGTGTATCACAGCCAGAGCCACGGGAGGCGCACGGGGTCGAAATCAGCGTAGCCAAGTGTACAGGCATGGGCCAGGAGCGTGCACGGGATGTCCAGAAGACCTGCAGCACTTCGTAGCAAGCCTGGTCCTGGCAGGTTTCGGTGGCCCAACATCTGCTGTGCAAGCCCTGCGTTGCAATTGAGACGTCCTCCAGATTCTTAGATGAGTCCCTTCTAAGGTGCCCGACCCCAGCCGAGGGGCTGACGGTGCCGGAGGCTTATGGAGTCTAGGTCTCGCCATCTCTCGAAATGCTAGAACTGCAGCTGTGAGGGCTGTCCAAGGCATGGGCCCCGTCTGGTGCACCAAAGGTGCCTGTAGCGAGGCCCGACGCTGCAACATGAAAACAAGCACAGGCTTGCGTTGTCGCAGAGCCCAGGTCTCGCGCGGAGGCCGTCGATGCTAAGCCAGAAACTGGCGAAAGCGCTTTGGCACCAGGTCTTGAGCCAGCGAAAACCGACGTGTGGAGTGTTTGTCTTTGCAAGTGCCTTTGCAGGACCTGCGGCGTGCCACCCTCGGATAACTCTGCTTTTGCCAGGGCCAGCGACCCTCTCGCGACATTAGGACATCAGCCAGTGCCAGTGATGCGAACGTTCCGCCTCCTGCACTCCCAGAGTCTGACGGATGGGAGGCCAGGCAGAGTTCTCCAGACTTTCCTGCCATGTGATTCGAACATATCCTGAGGCACAGTTCGCCTGGGGCCCCATGCTCAGAATCATGCATGGCATGTGATGTGCGGGCAGGCTTGAACGATCCCTTGAGGTGTATACTATAGCAAAAGAGCCTGCCTGGCTTCCGAGTCTGCCGCTGGTCCGTGGGTGTGGAGCTCTGACATCGGATGTCGAACCGATCCGGACGGCGACGAAATGTGAGGCTTCGGACTGGAAGGGCTCCCGTGCCGGAGTTCCACGGCAGATGTTGAGAGCAGAGGACGCCAAGCTGTCACCACCCCTTGCACCGTTGCGGCGAGTTTTAGAGGATCTGCTCGCATCAGCTGTTCAAGCAGCTCCGCAGCAGCATCAGCGTGTCAAGCTGGCAGAGCGTGCACTGCCCTTGGACAACGACTTTGCGGGACTGCGCGGCTTCGTGCGTTATGAGCTTGGCGCCCTCTCTTCTCAGGCATTGCGCCTCTACTATCATGCCAAGTGGTTGGCAGAGCGAAATCATGCAACTGCTGCCGAATGGCGATATCGGGAGGTCAGTCATCTTCAGAGCGCACTGCCGTGGCACATAGGTAGGAGGTGTGATGGCACACGAGGCAAGTCGCCTGGCTCGACAAACGCGACGGAATGTCCTAGCAGCCCACTCGCTAGGTCGTCTGGGGTTGGGAGCTAAGTGTCGATAGCTGGCACTGGTAAATGTAGCTGCTTGGGTTACTGCGTTCTTTGAGGTACTTCTTGATCCACTGGCGGCGGCTACACGAAGCGAAAGAGGCAAAGGGTGTGGGACACTGCGGATACGGCGGAAAAATACCCCGTCAATGACTGGAGCTCCAAGGCCTTGCATGAGTCGCAGAGAATCAGCTCGAAGTGCCTCGGAAAGAATCCCGCAGGCCTCCACATCTCTCCCTGCTTCCGGTCCGGTCTAAGGTCAAATCCATTGGCACCGTATTTGCTGGGACTGCTCGAGCGGCAGGCTGGCTTCCGTGTGGCCGCCAAAGAACTCACCGGCCTCCAACCCCAGGATGCTGGCAAAGACACGGAGCGCATCCTTGCCGCAGAGGCCTGCTTGGTTTGTTTTGGAAGGGGGGAATATGTTACGCTAAGCTAAGTGTCGGGGAAGAGCTACTACTCAATGCATGAATATCCCAGAAGGACTACTTATATGTAAGACGTGTGAACGTCCAGGAGCTTATCATCAACGCGGGAGAGCAGCCTTCCTCGGACCGGGCAAGTGCTCTGCACTCATTCGGCGTTTCTTGAAACACAGGAAGCTGTACCCTCTGCTTCGGCGAGCCGTAGATTTTGAGCTCCACTAGCAAGGGTTCTTTATGAATGTGATCGTCTTTCATGTTCTGAAACTCCCATGCTCGTGCCTGCTTGGAAGCCCCCTGGAAGGATCTCGAAGCGGAGAGGCAGCGGTTGATGCAGGTGTCCAGGGCTCAGACCGCTGCGATCATGGAAGACTCCGTCAGTGTTGGACTCCTTGCGATGGCTTAGAAATACCGTGCTGTCGCTTCTAGCCTGCGAGCGGTCTCATGGGAAACCAGCAAGACTACTGCTGCCCTGCCGAAGCGCCAAATCTACGGTCTCTGAACCTTGCGCCATAATCGGCTGTGAAAGCAGCTCCGGCTCTCGAGGTCAGGCCGTCAAGGTGCGAGCTGCAAACACTGCCCCACATCAATACATAGCTCTGCACACTTCTGTGGCTACAGATATCGCGGCGATTTCAATTTTAGCAGACTGCCTGGCCTGCCGCGACTCCGGGCTGAGGGCTGTTTGGCATATTATCCATTCGGAGCCATTGGCCCCTTGAGAAGTCGCATGCCCCTGCGTGGTGAGATGAAGATCGAACGAACCCGATTCCATAAGGCCATAAGGTCACTCCGGAGGATTTGGCCTGGTTGAAGCATGACCTGCTTGAAGTTTTTGTTGGTATCCCCGGTTGGTGGATGACGTAGGCTCAAAGCTTTCATACTGAAATGTAGGAATATGCATAGTTTCGAACCCAGTTCCGGACAGCCAAGGGTTTTGCCCAATCAAACGCAGAGTGGAAGCGACCTGACGCATCCATGAAACTTCTAAATCTTCTAAGTCTGACATCTGAGACCGAGAAACTGCTCACGAATAGGGGAGTGGCATTCATGCAGCAATCGTGCCAATCACAGTGAAGGGGCCGGGAGTAACTGCAGAGCCCAAGACTGTGAACTGCAGTTTTGAAGGCATGAGACCGACAGGGCCCCACATGCCGTCGTGCCGAGGATAGGTTTCTGGCGCCAGGCAGAGACTTCACTTCAGCCATCCCGTGCACGCGTTGATCCTGTCAGAAGCCTTCAGTTAACAGAGCACAGCGACTACCATGGGTCTGGTTCATGTTCTTTTGATGTTACACAGTCATTGAGAATGACCATGTTGCCAGGGGCTGCTTTGACATTGCCGATTCCGCGTACGTGGTGATCTGCACTTTCAGACTCTGGGACTAATCGTCGCTGCTGCTTCGTGTGTGCTTGACGATGATGTTTCCTGATGGTATGTTTGTATGCATGCGTAATTATCTATATATATATATATACATACAAGCAATGTGTGTGTGTGTGTGTGTGAGTGCGGAGGTAGGTATATATACATATATATATATATATGTATGTATGTATGTATGTCTGTCTGTTTGTAGGAATGTATGCGTATGTATGTGCGTATGTATGTGCATGTATGTGTATGTGTATGTGTATGTATGTATGCATGTATGTATTCGTTTAATGTACGTGCATAAATACGTGCTTGCATGACCATACCTAAGCTATATATGTACTGTGTTGTGCATAGCTTG